AGTTTGCCAACAAGAGGAGACGTCTCCATCCCCTCCTCTTGACTCGGCACTGGCCTTCGCCATTCACTGGAAGGATAGACGTGAGAAGCCACCTGACTCTGAAGGCAAGGTTAGAAAGGGCAGTCTCCTCGCTTCCGCCTGGTCCTCTTATAGCGCTTACTCTCCAGAGCTCCATCTCAAGATGGTCCCTCTCAGAATCCAGCCACCTGAGGGGCCACAGGTAGGTGTCCAATCAACATTCCCAGCTGAGCCTGGCCTTTCAAGTCTTCCCAGCTGAGACTCCAGACATCTCGACTATGCCCTGACCCACAGACCCTGTGACCATGAAAACACTGTGGTTGTTTCATGCCACCAAGTGGTAGGGTGATTTGTCTCGCATCAGTAAAATTCAGAAACACTGGATCATATTTGATTTTCTCCCATTGTTTCAAAATTTTACTTTATAAAAAAGTAAAATTTAAATTCGGATCCTGTTTAAATTAGGAGCCAAGCAAGGGTTACACATTGCTTTTGGTTGATATTTCTGTTAAATATCTTTTAATCCACATGAATTTCTTCTTTTTTTTTTTCATTTTTACGCCACTTATCTGTGAAAAAACTGTCTTTTGTCTTATAGAATAACTCACATTCTGCTTTAGTTGATGGATCAATCAACCAACCATTGCTTACTATGTTTCTCTCTGAGCTGTAGTTCCTATAAAGTGATGGCCAGATCCAGCAGAGTTTTTCTGTAAGGGGTCTGATAATCAATATTCTAGTCTTTGAGGGCTACTCAATGCTGCCATCGTGGCACAAAAGAAGCCATTGATTATTCATAAATGAATGAGTGTGTCTATGTTCCAAAAGAACTGTATTTTCAAAATAGGCAGCAGGCAAATTTGGCCCATGGGCCATGGTGTGTGGGCCCTGACCTAGAAAAAACAAAGATTATCAAATACGGAGATGAGTGCACAATCCAGAATCACCAAATATGTAAGGAAAATCAACATCATGAAAGGAAAAGCAAACTAAACAAATCTAAGAACCAACATCCAAAGAAACAGAGTAAATAAAATAAACAGAAAAAAACTTTGAAAGAAGTACTGTACATGGAATAGTCTAGAGAATTAAGGATGCTATGACATTTCCTAAGCAAGAAAAGGCTGTTGTGACAATAAGCATTTATAGATCTTAGAAATGAATAATACAATAATTAAAATAAAAATGAAAATCTCAATAGATGTGCTGAATAACAGAAAGAACACATCAGAGTACAGCACTTAGGCAGCAAAGTATGCTGGGAAATTGTTCCAGAACACCATACTAAAGGAAAAATAAATGAAAATACGAAAAAGTTGGAGACATCAGAAATTAGACCCAGAAATTCCAATATCCACCTAATAGAAGTGACAGACAGAGACCAGAGAGACGGAGGTGAAGAGATAAGCAAAGAAATGATAGTAGAAGATATTTTTTCTAAGCTGAAAAAATGTTATTCTTTAAATAGAAATATCCCACTGGGTAACAACCAGGGTGAATAAGGGGGGGAGGAAATCTCATGCATGGATCCATGATGATAAAATTTCATAACTTTTGGTATAAAGAGCTCTGAAATCCCCTCCACACATCCAGAGTCTCATTCGGTGACTCTGGGGTGTAATTTGGAAATCTGACTTTCTTTCTTTGTTTGCTTTCAGTTGGAGACAGATGTGAAAAGACGTGGACTACAATGTGATAAGTGTTATCATACAGTGTTTCTCCAGAGACAGTCTGAGGACCACCTGCACCTGACTTTGCCAAGGTTCTTGTGAAATTTCAGATTCCCAGATGCGGCCCCTTGGATCATAATCTTGTGAGGATGCAGCTCAGGAAGTTGTATTTTAAACAAACCCAAGTAATTTTTATGATGGTCAAACTGTGATAACCACTGGCCTTGAAGAGCTATGTCCCAGGACTCTGATTTGATTTGGAAGGAACTTGAGGAGCGGGGGGGCGTGGGGGGGAAAGGGAGGTGGGAGAGAAACTGGATTGGTTGTTAAGAGAAGTCAGATCCCACAAGGTCTTGCCATGCTAAGGGCTTTGGGCTTTATAGGATCAGCCATAGGGAGCCAGTGAAAAGTTTTAAGGGAGGAAGGGGGCGGGGCAGCATAGTGTAATTTTAAAAGATGATTCCTATAGCAGGGTGGAGGATGAATAGAGATGGGTTGAGGCTGGGAGCAGAGAGACTAGCCCAGGAGACATGTAATGAGGACCTGACCCAACTCAGTGGCAAGGCAGACAGAGAAGGGGGAGATGGGAAGTCTGGTTGGGAGGTAGAATCAACAGTGCTTGGTGAGAAAAATCAAGGCTGAACTTGCAGGTCTTGTCCTCTGGGCTTGTCCCAGCCCCATGGGAGGGTCAAGTTCTTAGTCCCAGGCATTCTTTGTCTGCCCTGACCCACCATAGTCAGCAAGGTCATCCCAGGTCCTGTCCTAAGATATGCCAATTATTGGAAGAAAAACATAAAGCATACTTCTTGTGTACTTTTATTTTCATTGCCCTAAATGTTAGACACCTTATCTAATTAGGTTTGATAAATTAATTACTCTTAATATTTTGTTATTACAAAAACCTAAACACTATGTGTTGTTCCCCTGGGCGCTCTTCGTTTTGCAGCCCTTTGAAAGATTCCTGTGTAAACCGCTCTCTCAGGTTACCAAACAGCCTCAGGGCAGCAACTCCAAGAAAATGCAAGGGCAGAGCTGACCAGCTGGACCTTTTTCGATGTGCCCGAACTTTCACGCTGTGAGAGGAATGCTGCACACCCACTTTTCATGGGTTGCTCCAGATGGCAATGAAAACCACACGTTTTACAAGTGAGTGATGCGTGGTCACGCAGAGGAGTTACTCAACTCATGTCCACGAGGCTGAGAGTTTTGAGGTAAATCCTTTCAAGATTACATAGGTCAACCGGGATTTCAAAAGTAAATTATTTAGGGCTACACAGAGTGAAATATGGCTATTACTGATTAATCCTGATGAATGCTCACAATACAGCAATGGAGTAATTATTACAGAAATTTATGCTTGCTAAAATTAATTATTTATATGTAGGAGAGATATAAAACTGCATTAACAATTGAAAGAAATTATACATGTGATAAGAAGATTCAAATAACTGCTTACAATTTACAAAGCACCTTCTCATTTATTACCTCATTTGATCCTCACAAAAATTCCTTAAGATAAATCATCTTATAGTTCCATTTTATAGATGAGGAAACTGAAGGTCAGAAAGATTCAGTGACTGGCCCAAGGCCACACAGTCAATAAGACAATATTTCTATGTCTCATCTAGCATGTTTTTGGTTGCAAGTAACATAAAATCCAAATCAAAATGTACTAAACAGTAAATAGAAGAGAGAAACTCTAGAACAGAAAAAGTTCAGTGGTGCGGTGGGCTTCAGGCACAGTTTGATCAGAAATCCAGCTGTTTTATTTTGATTGTGTTGGATTTACCCTTCTTTTTGTGTCAGCTCTATTCTGAGTCTCTTTTTCCATTTAGTAGCAAAATGCTGGAGCAGTTTCAGGGCCCACCACACTATCTAGCAGGAGAAAGAACTTTTCTTTCTCCAATCATCAAACATGAGACCCCGGCTTCATTTTGTTGCACCAGTGGCCAGGGGAATACCAGGTACTGATTGGCTGAGGCCTGGGGTACATGATCCAGTGACCATGTCAACCAAGACCACAACCCAGAAGCTAGAGGTTGGATCAGTCCCCTCCAAACCCCACAGCTGCTATGCCATGTGGGAGGGGTGGAATGGAGGCTGCAGAGTCAACCACAGTATCCACCACAAGCCAGGAATTGAGTTCTATGGGACTTGAACGACGTAGGACTCCAAATCTCATGGGGGTTGAGAGGGGGGTTGTTTGTTTTTTCTCTATAACTGACACATTGTTATCCTTCACTTCTGGAGCTGACAACTCTAAGTAAAATTGTAATTCGTGTGCGTAAATGTGCCTAAAAAGGCCCGTACGTGACCGGAAGTCCTTTCCAGCTGGTGTGCACCAAGCCCAGACTTTGCTTTGTGTGTGCTGCCATGATCTATCGGCTTTTGCTTCTTCAGTTACTTCTCCAGCTCAAGTTCCTCTAAATTCTTTTGCCCCGTTCATTTTTGTTTCAAATACATTTTTGTTTCTTTGTGTCAGGGCCCAACCAGGAAGACAGAAACCACTCTGAATATTTAGAACAGAGGAAGTTTAGAGCAATGAGATGAAAGAAACTTAAAAGCCAAACAAGGGATGGTGAGGCAATCCAGAGTCTAGCCACAGCAGGAAGTCGCCACCACTCCCAGGCTGGAGGGACAAAGGGAGGAGGTGATGCTACCCGAGCCCTGGGCCTGGGATTACCCAGAGGAAGCAGGAACTATGGCAGGTTTCCTGTGAGAGATGGAACCAAGGAAGAGAGGCAGCAGCTGCCAGAGATACCACCCAGGACTGAGAGAGAGGGAGAAATACCCTAACTTCAACCTCCCTCCTGTTCTCCAGACTCCCACTAGAGCCTCCATGGGCCAAACCCAGTTGGGAGCCGGCTGACATGGGGTCTGAGAACATTGGCCTGGAGGGGTCAGGCCCCCTGAATACACAGCCAGGGAAGGAAGAGTGAGGAATGGACCTCAGGTCAAGCAGACCCAGAACCAGCACATTTATATGACAGTGTCATGCATGTTCACGGTGGAAATTTTATTTTATTTGTTTCTGCTTTTTGTGTTTTTAATTTTTGGCTGCGTTGCGTCTTCGTTGCGGTGCACAGGCTTCTCACTGCAGTGGCTTCTCTTGTTGTGGAGCATGGGCTCTAGGCGTGTGGGCTTCAGTAGTTGTGGCACATGGTCTCAGTAGTTGTGGCTCGTGGGCTCTAGAGCGCAGGCTCAGTAGTTGTGGCTCGCAGGCTTAGTTGCTCCACGGCATGTGGGATCTTCCCGGACCAGGGCTCGGACCCGTGTCCCCTGCATTGGCAGGCAGATTCTCAACCACTGCGCCACCAGGGAAGTCCCAGATGGTGGAAATTTTAGAAAATACAGATATGCAAAGAGAAAAAGGTAAAAATCACAATCCTATTAGGGAACTGCTGAGCGCTACCTATTTCTCATTAGTCACTGGAGAATCCACGTTCTGGTCCTTTCCCTGTAAATAGGTCAAGCACTCTAGCAGTTTGATTTTCTAATATACACCCTGAGAAATTCAATTTCTCCTCTTTATCAAGTTAAACGTGAAAAAGTAAGAAAAAACTTTATTTCTTCTAAGAAAGTGACTTGCTTCTTTTCCCAGATAGTGTGAGCTATAAGATTTATCAGGTTTCCTCTTTTTGTCCAGGCTACCGTGAGACTCAAGGGCACATCTCATGCTCAAGACCAGCAACTTTTAAACTTTATGGTGGGTATGTGCTTCTTCCTTCTTCTCCATGTTCTAAAGTGTATTGCATCATATCAGCTCTATGACATATGTGTATGCATGAAGCCAGCAGGGACAAATATAGGCACCTAAGGGAGAGGTCCCGGAGTTATTTCCCCAGAGGGTCGCTGGGGCATCACTTACCCTGCCCAACTTCGTCCACTCTGAGCCAGCTGGCCAGCACTGGGGAGTCATCTGCCGCTGTGGAACAGATTCTATCACCCTCCTCAACAGCAGATGGCTGCTCTGCCCTAATCCATGTCATACATCATTGCTGAGGGAGACACCACCATCGCTGTACAAATCACTAGCATCTTCGCTCCAATTCACTAGGCTGGGGATTACGCGCGTGTGCTCAAATAGTCTCTGGTTTAATAATTTTTCAGCTAAGCGACCCTATTAGCATCTTAACAATGGAAAGGGGTGGAGTGAAGGGCCACCGGGGAGATTATGGTTAGGTTTTTAATTAGATTGGGCATTTTAATTAGGTTGGGCACAGCTTTTTCAAGGAGGTGAAAGCATTGTCTCCTCAAGCGAGCACCTCTCTGGCCTGTTTTAGCTTCCTTGATTCACAAGTTAGCCCCTCTTGAAATGCTTCTCTTATATTTTGTTTATCTGAGGCTGATAGTCTGGGCATCGGGCCCAGTTTAATATAATTTTTACTGTTGCTACCGCATCCCCAGTTCTATCGAGAGAGTTATTATCATGTTGTCTAAGACACCTTACCATGGCAATTACCAGGTCGGGTGCACACCCATGCTACTCTCTACCTCAGCCCTCCCCAGCGCTTTCTACTTCAAATTTTAGAAGTGAAGGTGATTCTCACTTCCATTCCACCGAGACAATGAGAGTTTGGGACTTGATAGCATAGCAAAGTAGATATTTGGCAATTATCTAGACCATTTGATTGAGATAGGCAAATAGTTGACATAATTGAGGTCCTGGAATATATCTGTGTGTCTAAAGAACATTGAAAATCCCCCAGTTGCTTCTAATTGATTGTAAGTTATATAAACACATAGGCTGCTTTTACAACAAATTTGCTTTCCTAATTACATTTTACATAATCGAATGCATTCATATTAGTTTGAATTCTCTAAGCGTATACCAGCCCAAAGGTATGTTGCCTCGTAGGCAGGAGAGGAAAACTGACCACAGATGACCATCTGTGTAGAGCTGGAAGCTGGCAATAATAATAAAGCGGCAGCACTGACAAAAGAAGATAAACATTGCAGCATTTGATTTGGAAAATGGTGTGTGTGTGTGTGTGTGTGTGTGTGTGTGTGTGTGTGTGTGTGAAGTTCCATTCTTGGTTTTAGTGCAGAGTTGGGTCAGACCCTTAGGATGACTTTAGAACACAGGCATTAGACTTTAGAACAAGGTGAGCGATTGTAATAATAACCCACTTCACAGGCGTGGACATTAGCCAATAGACATGCACATCTCTGGCTTCACACCAAGGCCTAAGGTGGAGCCTGAGCCTGGGCTTGTCCAGGAGGTTCACACCTCCCGCAGACAGAGTCCTGCTGCAGAATTGTATCGCATTAACAATGCGACTTCCTGGAAAAACAAATAAAATGTTTTAAATGTTTAAATGTATTTTCAAGTATTCATCCTCCAAATATTTAGACTCTGAGCCGACTGGGCCAAGAGCCCAAGCTTCCCGTGCATGCTCGATTGTTCCAACCCTCTCCCCAGGATCAGCAAACATATAGCAACTTAAAATATTATCCTCTTGGAGCCGAAAAATAATTCCCCAGCTATTGTTCCAGGAAATCAGCTAGGTATCTCTGTCCAAAGTCCTCCTTCGTAATGTCTGCAAGAGTTTATTACTTTTTAGTAAGTTTAAGAAATTCTTAAAAAAGCCTCCCTGACGCTGTGGTCTGTGTCCACAGTGAAGCTGCAGCATAAGAAAGAATGGGAATGGAGAATTGGGAGTGGAGATGGGTAGGAAGAAAGGGAAGAAAGAGGGAGAGAGATGCAGGAAAAGCAACAAACAGCCTATTGAGGATAGAAGGCTTGGATGTCTGAATCAAGTCTTAAAAGAGGGACTCTGAGTAAACCAGCGATTTTGTTTTTGTTTTTTCAGAGATGGGAAAAGAGGGCAAGAATGTCAGAGGCTGATTTCCTTTTGCATTTAAATTTCTCTAAATTCAGTCATCATATAATATATTCTCCTTTTCCCAGGCATATCTATACCAAAACTTCCTCTTTTTTAAGCCTCCACAGCAAAATAATAATAATTCATATCACTGCCAATAAAATTATCTAATTATAGAGTTTAGACCTCTCATCTTTATCTAAGAAGTTCCACAAGATAAAGTAAATACCTTTAATGTAGATTTTGATTCTAGATACTGGGTCAGTATTTAGTTCAGCTTTCCCAATGTACTAGGTAGAACAGTGGAGTGAAATCTAACATACATTAAACTTTTGTAAGTTGGATCATATACGAGAGAGAGAGAGAGAGAGAGAGAGGGAATGGGTATTGGTCTTAAAAAGCAGGTGCCCCAGAGTGAACATGAGACAGGACCAACAAATCTGTTCTGCCCTAGGTTTGTCTCCATGCCTACGGACCTTCCCTGTGTAGTCTTCTGCTTAAAATACACATTTTTCATATACATGACCTCAAAATGTAAGCTAACTGCTTCACTGGTACTCAAACAAGAAAACAGCTGTCTGCTCCAATGATGGAGGGAAAACTGGCTGAGAAATAGTCCACCAGGCTTTGGCATGGTACCTCCCTAAGAAAACTTCAAGGGAAGTTTTGATTATCTGTGATTTTCTTCTTGTGGCTGACTTCAGAACCTGGCCCTCCCAGCAGACACATCTCTGCTGAATGATTCCCCCCTTGGCAAAGAGAAAATTTAAAAAGAAGTGGGGTCATTCTTCTGATGTCTCTGTTCCAGAACTAGAAACTTTGCTTTCTCCATCTCTGTGCCCAACTGCAAGGCACACGACGATCTCTTTTGACTTTATCTGGGGGTACAAAAATGGTCCACGAACAAAAGCTATGGGAGACAGAGTCATTCAGGAATTCATTCTTTCCTTCATTAAATATTTGCAGAGTACCAGCAATGTATCAGGCTCAAGATTCCACAATGAGCTACTGCTGAATCAGAAAGGGAATCAAAAGACCCAATCGCGACTTGGTTACACTCAACTTGTGAAGTTGGAGGAACTGCTGACCCTTCTGGGTCTCAACTGTCTACCTGACTAAAAAAAAGTGAAAAAAGTTGTGGCAAATAAGTTCTAAAATCCCTCTCAGTAATAAAATTCTGCGAAATCAAAGTAGAAATATTTTCTAAAACCTTAAAAGGACTAGAACAAACTTCCTCATAGCAACTCTATCTACTCCTGACAAGCACCGTGCCCTAAGCAGCTCTTTTCCTTCATCTCTGCTCTTCCAGGTTACGGTCAGTTTCCTCTCCTCGCCCCCTCCACTGTTGTACAATATAACACTGTATGAAACAATATAGCCATCAACTCCTCCTTCTTCTCCTCTCCGACTCCCACAGCTTCGAAGTAGACATGTGGACAAAATGAAGGGATTTCTTCCGAAATGTTCTCTGTCATAGATGCTGTTGTTCAGGCCCTGTCAGGGTGATTCAGGCTTCAGTGTTTTGATTAAAAGTAAAGATAGCTACACTGTGGACGAAAGGTATGGAAATAGATCTCTTGAAATCACACTTTCGGATTGAGCAAATGCTTCATTTCAATGACTGCATCATTTGTAACGTGGCTTTTGTGTCGTATCATCACACATACAGACCTGTTCACGCCTGGTTGTTGAATCTCCATAGTAATGGCTTGAGCATCCGTTGTCTTTATTCAATCTTATCTAAAAAAAAAAATAATAATAAAACACTTGGTTACACGAAGGGAAAAAAATTCCTATAAAATGCTTGAATGTTTGTGCTATTATATCAGAGAATGTTTACCAATATTCCTTTAGGCAATACCTCCTTGTTAGTTGTTCTATTCAGTTAATAAGTATATATCTGAAGAAGACATATTCAATCAGTAGTTGTGCTTCATTCACTCCCGGGCATTAAGGAGAAGACTAAAAGTGTAAAATTTCCAGAAGTTAAGGGCAATAGAGTGGAAAGTCAGAACGCTTGAATCTGAATCCCACTTTTATAGCTTACTAAATATTTGATCCCAGGGAAGGTACTCGGTTATTCTGGACTTTATATTCCCCACAAGGACATTAATAACTCCTACGCTGTCTTCCTCGCAAAAATTTTGTGAAGATAAACTGGTCTGTAAGAAGAGGAAGAAAGTATTACACTTATATAATGCTTACTTGCCAAGCACTTCACATATTCACTCATTTAATCCTTACAATAATCCCATTTTACAAGAAATCACATCACTGAGAGGTTAAAGGATTTGCTTATAAAAGGTGGAGCTGGCACTCAAACCGAGGCAGAATCCATGCACTTACCTCCATATGATAATCAGTTATACAAAGGGCGCTACTAAAATGTTTCAATGCATTCAACGGGGGGAAGAACTTTTGTTCACCTTCTCCCACTTTTAATGGAAATGTGGTGAGGGGAAGACCAATGTCTGCAATATTTTTAGTGCACGTAATTAAAATGATTTTCCTAGGTTAATAGCATTAAAATTTCACATTTTGTGGTTTTCTCACAAAGTTATAATGCTTTGGACTTATTAGACTTAAAGATATCATGTATTTATGCAACAGCTCCACATTTTCCTCTTGAATTTGCATTCCAACAAATTAAAATGATTTTTCAATATCCCAGCAATACAGAGCACTGAACTCAAGGGAATCTAGCATCTCATGCTTTCTGCCTGCCTCTATAAAGCAGGCAAAAACTTGAAAACCAGAGGCACCAGCAAACTTCCAGCTAACAAAGGCAGTCATTATGTTTTCTGCACTTAGGAGCTTTTGCTCTGCCAGGCAGATACAGAGAGTACTGATCTCCTTCCAAGTCCCAAACCTCTTCACTTCCTCTTTCTCCTTCTCTCTGTCTAGGGCCTTTTGAGCGAGATGGCCAATAAGCCCCTTGTTTCCCATCTCTGCAGGAACAAGTGGGTGCTACTCTCAGTGTCCACCAAACCATAAGTCCTTTGAGGATACAGGAAGACATCCACCAATCTCAAGATCAAAATGCAACAAAAGGAAATCTGCAAGCAAAGGAGAGGCTGCCCACCACCCCGTTCTCTTATAAAAATGGCAGGATCTCTGGGGAGAGCAAGCAGTTTACTTCTGCGTGGTATATATACTTACCAAAGGTTCAAGAATACTTAATTTTACTTTTAAAAATGCTCTAATTGTATAATAAACTACACTATTAGGAATTGGGTATTTTGATACATATTCTCTCTCTGAAGTTCATAGTAATCCTTCTATTCACATTAGTAGGAGCCAGCGATAGGATTTGAACTCATGTCCAGCAGACTCCAAGGCTCCTGCCCTTCCCTTAGCAACAGACTGTCTCTGACTGGGTTCCAGGGATCACGGAGTAGTCATTTATGATCATAGTTTCTTAATTAGTTTATTCTACATTCTAAGGTATGTGTAATTCTACATTTCCAGGCAAACAACACAAAAAAGATCTAGAGAACGGGAGGGAAATTTTTGTCTTAATTTTTCAGGCTTTAATCATGGAAAGCAACACATCCACTCCAAACACACTCTCCCCCTTTGATTTTGTGACTCCTGTAATGTTTCCCTGGTCCCAACTGGTAGGAAGGGCAATTGGGTAAACCCAGAGAGGGCTGTCAACAGATAAAAAAATCAACAGAAAAGATCAATTTGAAAATAAAAGGGTTGAAGATGGCATTGACTACTGGAAAATCAGAGTAGCCATCTCTTTTTAACATCTCAGCATGCTGTCCTGCAGCCTATAATTTGCCCGCATTGTCCAACAAAGTAGGAACACCCAAGGGAACAGGACCTTATCACCTCTCTTGCCAACCTCTCTTGCCTTGTCCCTACTCCCAAGGACAAGCCAGCGGAATTCAATCCCAAAGATAAGAGTTTAGTCCTGCTACCTCTGAACTGGCCCTGGGCCAACACAACAACCCTGGCATCTGTCGCTCCCCTCCACATGGCTGTTTCCATGAAGAAAACATTCCTCATCATGCAGTAGGAACTGGGTCATCACAATTAATAACCCACCAGTTAAAAGAATGGGCTCTGCATTCTCTTCCAAGTGTGAGGGTATCCTGTGATACAGGGTAAAGTGTCCACAGCAATATCCTTCCTCGACAGGGAGGCGGTGGGGTGAGATGCCCGATCCCCAAGAAAGTCCATCAGGAAAAGAAGGCCAGCTTAAGAACATTTCATGTTGCGCAGCAAGTCTAACTTAAATCAGGAGTGGTTAATACTTGTAGGTATAATATCTATCATTAGTTATTCAGGAAAGCAACATGGGAAGTCACTACCAGGTCAGATGGCCTAAAGCATGCAAGTCAATTAAGCAGCAGAATGAAGGTGACAGGAGGCAAGAGTGTTGCCCAAAAAAGTTGACATGCCCAGCGTGTCTGGATACGAAACAAGCCTCCTGATAGCTGAACGTGTTTTGAAATACTTGTAAACTACTTGGTTAAACATCTCCCATTCTTGTGATAGACGGAAATTACCAAGGAAAAATATACTAAACCACTCAGCCAAAATAAAACTTGATGAAGAATGGTAGCATCCCCAACACTGAATGCCCTTGGAGCTCTTTGATCTGTGCTTTTCTAACTTTGGCTCAAGGCCCCGTTAAAACCAAGGAGTTCGTGTTTGGGCCAATAAATAGAGCCAATAAAAGTCAGTCTTGAACCAGGAATGGGTGGAACCTAGGTCATTAACGGTGTTTGGTGATTGTGAATGCTGACAGTAGTACTGCTAAGTATATACAGCTCCCTTTACACCCTAGATGAGAAGGGCCAGTCGCACCTAAGAGAGAAAACAAGAGCAAAACCAACCCCGAGCCCCAGCATTGAAATTTTATTTGACAAATATGCATTGAGCATCTACTAGGTGCCAGACAGAGCTTAAGCAGGACGCATCCACAGATGAATAGGAAGTAGACCCAGCCCATGAGACTCCAGACTAGAAGGAAGTCAGTTATGTGCCCCCAGCCATGATACAGGTCAGACTGTGATGAGGGCTAAGCAGAAGAAAGAGTAATTAACTCTACGTGGAAAGATTCTAGAAGACTTTACAGAGGAAGTGCTTTTAGCGGAACCATAAGGAATGAGTGAAAAAACCAACAGCCAGAAAAGGGTGGTATTCTGAGCAGAGGAGACAAGCTAAGTAAGTCGCAGAAGAGCTGAGGGGCAGAGGCAGCTGGGGAGAGAGTGCTAGAATTCTGACATGGAAGGAATTCAAGGCCTGAGGCTGGAAAGGTAACTCAGGACAGACTGCAAATGGTCTGTGATGACTTGTGACACATGCACTTGACCTTATTTTGTAGGCAGGGAATTGTAAGCATTTTATATATTTATGTTTAATTTTTAATTTTTATATTTGAAATATTTATATTGTCAAGTGATTCTTAGGAGGAACTTGAATGCATAGAACAAAGAGACGTGATGTTTTATTAGTGAAATTTTTTTTTTTTTCCACACCGCGAGGCTTGTGGGATCTTAGTTCCCTGACCAGGATTTCAACCCGCGCCTTCGGCAGTGAAGGCGCAGAGTCCTACCCACTGGACCGCCAGGGAATTTCCTACATTTGCTTATTCTTAGATCAACTAATGAGAAAAAATATAATCGCTTGCACATCAATCAAGATTTTTTTTTCTAGTACAAGTGACAGATAACCCCATCCAAACTAACTCAGGGAAGAAAAAAAAAGTGAGGGAGGAGAAAGATTTATTGACTAAATCCAGAAGTGCTTCTGGGATTCCAGAATCAGTTGACTGAGGGGCTGAAGGAATACCATCAAAGCTGTCTGTCCATTTCTCATCTCCGTGTCCGTCTCCATGGAGGGGCACGGAGAATGGTGGCTACTCCATTCTCAAGATGAGCTTCCTCCCTGTGGCAGTCCCTGGCAGATCCAGGCTTATAACCGTATTCACAAGTTCCAATCTGCTTCCTAACAGGACCCAACACAATCTCAGAACAAAGCCTCAGTGGCCTGGCCTGACTCACATGCCCATCCCTGGCCCTGTCACTGTGCCCTGGACCATGGTACACACTGAATGGTCACAGTGGGTCCTGTGTCCCCCCAGAGTCTCCATGGACTCAGAGGGGAGACAGATGGTCTCAGAGGAAAACTGAGGTGCCATTACCTGGAGAAGAAGGAAAGATGCTGGGCAGGTTAAAATAACACAGTCTACTCTAATTTGCAAATAATATGCAAACATTTTAAAGTTGGGTTAAGGAATGACAATTGCAGGCTTATATCAGCCTTAACATCTAGTTTGCTTCTGTATTTTATTTTATTTGCATGGTATTGAGAAAATCCTGATTCACATAGGTGAGCAGTTCCAAATAGTAACTTTTTCAAACAGTGTACCTGGAACACTTAGGATACTCTTTAATTAAATTTTTGCCGAAGTTTAAAAGCAGGCTGTAAGTTTGAGTAATACGCAATTCCATTTCAAAGTTTACTTACCTAAACTGTGAAGAGGCTCCTCTGCTAATTTAAGTGTTCGCTGGGAAGAGGTTTTTCAGATATATCTGCAGCATGTGATGAGAAATTTGACAATATCATTTTCATTTATTTTTTATTTATTTTTATTGAAGTATAGTTGTATAATATTATACAAGTTACAGGTGTACAACATAGTGTTTCATAACTTTTAAAGGTTATACTCCATTTATAGTTATTATAAAATATTGGCTATATTCCCTGTGTGGTTCATTATATCCATGTAGATTATTTTATACCCAATAATTTGTACCTTAATCCCCTACCCCTATATTGCCCCTTCCCTCCCCCTCCTGGTAACCACAAGTTTATTCTCTATATCTGTGAGTCTGCTCCTTTTTTGTTATATTCACTAGTCTGTTATATTTTTTAGATTCTACATGTAAGTGATATCATACAGTATTCGTCTTTCTCTGTCTCACTTATTTCATTTATAAGTCAGACAGAGAAAGATAAATGCCCTCCAAGTCCATCCGTGATACTGCAAATGGCATTATTTTGTTCTTTTTTATGGCTGATTAGTATTCCATTGTGTGTCTGTGTATATGTATGTGTGTGTGTGTGTCTGTGTCTGTGTGTATATATATATATATATGTACCGCATCTTCTTTATCCCTTCATCTGTTGATGAACACTTAGACTGCTTCCATATCTTGGCAATTGTAAATAATGCTGCCATGAACATTAGGGTGTGTGTATCTTTTCAAATTAGTGTTTTCATTTTTTTCAGATATGTACCCAGCAGTGGAATTCCTGGATCATATTAGAGTTCTATTTTTAGTTTCTTGAGAAACCTCCGTACTGTTTTCTATAGTGGCTGCACCAATTTACATTCCCACCAACAGCGCAGGAGGGTTCCCTTTTCTCCACATCCTTGCCAACATTTATTTGTGTTCCTCTGGGTGATAGTCATTCAATATCACTTTTTTAAAACTCGGATATCTCAGTAACTGTGGTTCAAAGTTTGAACACAGTAAAATAAACGTTTTGCAATTTGAGTCACAATTTTAAGTGTCATCTTCACTGCTGACAGGTTATCAACAATGGTAGGCGTGGTGATACTGCAGCCCCACATGGCCAGACTGAACTCATTCAGCTTGTTAAAAAGCAGCAGGAAGCTGATGCAACTCTGTTGTATCAAAGCACTGTTTTGCTAAGTTTCTTTTCAGAAAAATTAATTAGTGATTTCTTGTCTCGTTTGAAATAGGAAAAATAACTCCTTGCCCTAAGACAGTGGATAAATGTTACCAGGAAAAAAATTCTGGCACTCACAACCTATTATGTTCCAAATAGCTTTGGAAATCTGAAATTTAGAGATCATGTCCTATTAAGCTGACAATGTAGAGAGTACTATTAACCCCTGTTTAGAAGATGCTATCTCCTTAAGAGCTAAGCCTTCTCTACTCAACCTGCCAGTGCCTATTCTAAAATCACATTTTAGCAAAGTAGTTCCTCAGCACTTTGTAGCAGCACTGTGGCCATTCTACACTGTTTTATTTCTCTTGGTGTGGATGGCATGCTTCCTTTCCTAGACTGAAAGCCCCAAAGTGCTGGGGCTTTGTCTTATTGTGTGCCTTCTCCCCATACAGCTTAGTATAACATATACTATGAGCTTAGTGTCACGTCTGATATGAGGCAGACTAGATAAATGTTATATATTTTTTTAAATGTGTTTTTAAGTTACAACAAAATTAAAGGAGAATATTTGTCTAGCCATTGTTTCGAATAAAATTTGTGAGATTAAAAGGTTTGATACCTTTATTAATAGCAGACAAAACAATAAACCAGAAATGTACTTCCTTTAGAGAAATGTTCTCTCATTGAGCTCCCTGTGTTTTGAAGGCTGTTTTGGGCACATGCACACTCATACTCCTCACCAGTCATTCATTCATGAAACAATTAGTATGTACACACTACGTGATAAGGTGTGTCCTAGTTGCTGAGGATGTTTTAAAAAGGCGTAGAACACGGTCCTTGACCTCAGGAGTTTAGTCAGGGAGCATCCTAAAAGCGAATCATCATAATGCCACCTGATACGTGCCATAATAGAGATATGAATACTACGTGCTGTTGACGAGGCTCTTTCAGGTTGCCAGGAAAAGAGACGTGCTCTGGTGACTTGGGTGAATGTGGTGCGTTGTAAGGATACATGAGGAAGTGGGGAAGAGCAGGAAGCAGTTTTAGCAGCTGCCTGACGGAGCTGGGAATGTCACTCAGGACACAGTATACCTCCAGCCACCTGTTTTTCTTGACATTGCTTCAGCAGTGGGCATCTGTTGCTCCCTCTCTATTGCTCTGCCAATATGGTGACTCAGCTACACTCTGCTTCTGCTTCCTCTGCTTGTACCGCCAAATACTTTCTGTATCTCTTTTCTCTACTCCATTCCTCCTGTTTTCTTGTGGCTCGCACTGCCGTGTAGACAGGACTTTCGGACTCCTCTCTGGGTGTCTGCCCATTTCTGCCCAACCTTTTGGCTTAGTCCCCCCAATAGGTCTCAAATTCAAATTGTGTGAAAGAGGCTTTGTGTGATTGGCCAGTCATCATCCAGGATACAGTGACCACCTTGGGTGGAGTTCTTGCATCAGCCAGTCTCATTGGCTACTGGACATCCCAGGTACAACTGCCTTTGGCTCAAGCATCAGTTCTCTGTTCAGTCCACTGTAGCCAGGGAAGCAGGGCTCCGGTTTACAACATGTCAACCCATGCATAGAGCACTGTCTGCAGCAGCTTGCGTCACAAGAGGGTGTGGTTCATCCTGGCGATCACATCAACTGACTTCTCTGCAGAACAATGTCCTAGTGCATTGTTGGCCATCTTGAGTTTGACTATTTCAACTGTTCAACTTTTTACAAATAATGTCAGACAAAATGCTATAACAATTATAACTTGTTAGTACATTTTGAAAAGTTATTTTAAATACATAAGAATTAAGACTATTTGAATACTCCACAAGAAAAAAAATAGTTGAAAAAATTATATTTATAAGAAGGAATATTATACAGCCTTCCAAAGGATCATGATTTGGAGAATATATGATGACAAAGAAAAATGCTGACTGATGTAATGTTAAATAAAAATTAGTACATATAAGTTATATAGTATTATTAGTGAATTAATTATACATTCAGCTCTGAAATTGAGAGAGAATAAACTGGAGAGATGAGTTAACAGGAACTCTGGATGGTGGGGTGATGTGTGCGTTGAAAAGTTCTTTCATATGCATTTTTGTATTTCTCAACATTTTAAAGGTAAAAAAACCCCAAAAAACCACACAACTATAAGATACATAAAGCAGTATAAAAGACCACCCTTACTTAGTAGGTAAAGCCCATAAATTGGTTTGACAAAAAATATAAGACCCTTTGGATCCTGTTTCCAGTAAAAAGTGAGATTTCCTTTCTTATTCATGACCCACAACAGCTAAGAAAACAAAGATGACAATGAAATCAAAAGCATGACAGAATAACGGGATACATGGTGGCTAATTATGCATTCTGTGCTGTGGTATTCTTAGGAGGATGTCTGGGCTGTCAAAATATAGTTCCTGCTTGCCCCAATCATTTGTTCATAGACCACAATGGAATGGGTTTCAGGGGATGCAAAATGGGAGACAGCGAGTCTGTGAACAACTGTAATCCCAAGCGAAAAAGTGCTCACAGGAGATAACGCGAAGGAGGGCAAAGGCCCCGAAAAGATGGCTAATTCTGCCTGTGAGAGTGAGGGAAGAATTTAGAAAGTTGCTGACATTTGATGTGAGCCTTAAGAAATATTAATTGAATTTTCAACGGAGCTGAATAAAGGGCACCTTACTTCTATTCCTGAATTCTAAACTGGAATAGAATAGAAGCATGAAATAGAAGAATAGGGTAGGTGGGAGACCAAGCTATCACCTTTACTTGATGAAGTTGATAGTGAAGAATAAGGCTGTCTGACTTCAGGTAAGTGGATTTCCAATTCTAAACCCGGAATTAGACAGATTTATCCATGCAGTCACCAGAACTGCATTACCACACAGGTTTTCTGATGGAGGGCAAGACTCCTATAAAACCTACAACAGGAGAATCAGAGCAGAACACATGTTCTCAGCAGGCAGGTTCACCACCACCACCCCCCACCCCCACAGAAAAAGGAGAGGAGGAGGCTGAAATGTACATGCTCTGCGCGGCGGGTTGAATGGTGACCCCTTCTTACCCACTCACCCCCCCACCTCAAATGACGTGTCCACTCAGAATCTGTGACCATGACCTTACTTGGAAAAAAGCTTCTTCACATATGTAATTAAAGATCTTGAAATGAGATCATCCTGGGGTAGGCTGGTCCCTAAATGACAAGTGGCCTTAAAAGAAAAGGGCGGAAGACAGAGAGAAGATGGTCAGAGATTGTAGCGATGCATCTACAAGACAAGGACCACCAAGGATTTGGGCGACCACCAGAAGCGGGGAGAGGGGCATTGGACAGGCTGTTCCTCAGACTCCAGAAGGAACCAAACCTGTCCACACCTCGGTTTTAGACTTCTGGCCTCCAAAACTGCAAAAGAATAAACTTCTATTGTTTTAAGCTACTCGATTTGTGCTAATGTGTTACAACAATTCTGAGAGACTAATACACTCTGTTTCTTCTTCTAAACTCAGCCATCTGTGAGTAGAGAGAGGAGGGAGAGGCCAGATTATTTCCCTAGTGGAGTTTTCTCCACATAAAAGGAAATATTATGAATGGGAAAGACACATCTTCCCCTAAAATAATAATAAAAGTTGCTAACATTTTTCGAGTGCTTGTCATACCAGCTATTGTTTTGAGTCGTTTCATAAAGAATACAGTAGAGGACTGTGGACAGGAAGGGACTTCCAAGCCAAGGGGAAAACTCTGTGGGGTTTTCCCAACCCATACACTTCCTCCTCTGTTCCTATATGACTTCCACCCATTTCATGGGCATTGGGTCCAGGGCTGCTGGGATTTACAACCTTGGGTCCCACATCCTCTATTCACAGAGATAGGAGAGCATTTGTTTAATTATAAAATTTCTGTAAA